GAGACCCCAGACGCCCAAGAGACTAGTTTGGCACTAGAGACCTACCGCACTGCATGTGAAAATGGCAAAGGCGCGATTCTGCTCTGCGTCGCTCGTGGCAAAGTGTCTGAAGGGATCGATTTCGATCATCATTATGGACGTACTGTGCTGTGCATGGGCGCGCCTTTCCAGTACACCGAATCGAGGATTCTAAAGGCACGGCTGGAGTTCCTGCGAGAGAACTACAGAATCAAGGAACAAGACTTCTTATCTTTCGACGCCATGCGACACGCGGCCCAATGTCTGGGGCGAGTCCTGCGAGGGAAAGATGACTACGGTATAATGGTTCTGGCCGACCGTCGTTTTCAAAAGAAACGGACCCAATTACCCCGATGGATTGCGGAAGAGATTACTGATGCTCAGACTGGGTTGAGCACCGATGCTGCTGTGGGCATGGCAAAGAAGTTCTTGAGGAGTATAGCTCAGCCTCTGCGCCCCGGGCAGAAACTACCAGACGGCTCGACCAAAGGCAAAGACAGCTGGGATCTGAAAGAGCTTGAAAACTTCCAGAAAGAACAAAAAGCAAGGCGAGGAGAAGGGGATATGGGAAGAGAAGATGCAACAATGCACGATTACATGCACAGTGAAGTGAATAAGGCTCCACAGCAAAATGGCACCAATGGTCATGTCGATGGCATGGACGAGTTTGATGAGGTTATTGCTGACGAGGAACTGCTCATGGCCGAGGCGATGGTCGTGGAATGAAGAGAACGACAGGATTCCTTGTCCACACTTCAAATTGATGGTCATCTCTTTGCTCCGTTGATACACATGAGAGTGGAAAGGTTGGAACGACAAAACTAACTGCTTAAAACCACACGAGGCTTCAAAAGTGACTCCCGCGGGTGAAGAAGGCATTTAACAAGATGGGGAGAACAGTAATAAACAATTCTCACGAGTCATCTTCGCATTGAGAGACAATCCATTGCGACTATTCGGTAGAAGTCTATTGCCAAGAGTCACACGGCTAAATGACTGGCGATTATTGCTTTAAAACCATGGTCCATAGGCGTCTCAACGGTCCCTCTTTATATATCAGGCGAATGACTAAGGCATTTAGCCGGACCGCTGGCCATGTGGACACATTTGTAAGTCACAGGTTGAGACAGAAGATGCGCTCACTGGCTCGGACACTCTGCTTGGGCTGGCGGAGAGCTTCAACGGGTTTTTGGACTCTTTCTCATTCGGTGCGCGAGTTCGGAAATATCTTGACTCTGGTACCCGCCAGCCAATGCTGAAGCATAACAAAGTATATTCTGTGAGCTCACCCCTCCGCCCGCTTTTAATTACCCGGGAGCAATAAGGTAAGGATATCTCTTCAAGGCAGCAGAAGATCGTTGTAGCTTTGGTCTATTTTAGTTTTTCTCCAGTACCACCAAACATGGCGGCAGGCTATCTCAAGGTCGACGGCGACAAGATCATAGATGGCAATGGCCAACATGTGGTTCTCCGGGGAGCAGCTATTGGTGGCTGGATGAAGTAAGTCACCCTCTTTGCTACCTGACGGAACAATGAGTTTTGGCAGCTGATGGGGTTCTTTCGCAGTATGGAGAATTTCATCACCGGCTACCCTGGGCACGAGTCGCAGCATCGAGCATCCATGCGGAAAGTCTTGGGCGACGAGAAGGCCGAGTTTTTCTTCGACAAGTGGCTGGAATACCACTTCACTGAGGCGGACGCTCGCTTCTTCGCCAGCCTGAAGCTGAACTGCATCCGACTCCCCTTCAACTACCGGCACTTGGAAGACGACATGAACCCTCGGGTGCTGAAAGAGTCTGGGTTCAAGCACCTCGACAGAGTTATTGATCTGGTGAGCATATTATCATCCGACGATGACGGCCCAAGCATGCCCGACTAAACTGCCATGACTGTGACTCCCAGTGTGCAAAGCATCAGATTTACACAATTCTCGACATGCACACCGCGCCGGGCGGGCAGAACCCCGATTGGCACTCCGATAATCCTACCAACTATGCTGCCTTTTGGGACTACAAGGACCACCAGGACAGGACGATCTGGTTGTGGCAGGAGATTGCCAAAAGGTATCGGGATAACACATGGGTAGCTGGATACAACCCCATCAATGAACCATGCGATCCCGAGCATGTGCGCTTGCCGGCGTTCTACAAACGGATCGAAGCGGCTATCCGTGCCGTGGACGATCATCACATCCTGTGGTTGGATGGCAATACTTTTTCGATGGAATGGAATGGCTTCGATGAGGTTTTGCCGAATTGTGTATACGCGCTCCATGACTACTCGGTTTGTCCTGAAGTCTGGGTTAGACGCCGTGTTGCTAATGAAAACAATGTAGATGATGGGATTTCCTACTGGCGAACGCTACAAAGGCACTGACGACCAGAACAGCAAACTGGAGCGACAATTCCTCCGAAAGGCCGAATTCATGCTCGAGCACAAATGTCCCATATGGAATGGCGAATTCGGTCCAGTCTACGCTGACCCAGCCGAGGATGAAGACGCAGAAGCCATCAACCAGGATCGGTACAATATGCTCGGTCAACAGCTAAAGGTCTACGACAAGTACAAGATAAGTTGGAGCATCTGGCTATACAAGGACATCGGCGTCCAAGGAATGGTGCACACGAGCCGGGATTCGAAATGGAACCGCGCTATCCAGCCCTTCCTGGACAAGAAGAAGAGATATCGTCTGGATGCGTGGGGGGTCCATCACTCGCCCGAGGCGGAAGCCGTTTTGAATCCTCTCGTGGAGTGGATTGACAAGATCTGTCCGACAGCGAAGGATGCCTATCCAGGTCCATGGCAGACCGAAAGGCACGTTATGCGCGCTGTGATTCAGACCTGGTTGAGCGCGCAATTCTCGGACGAGTTTGCCAGACAATTCGAGGGGATGGATTTTAAAGAGCTGGACGAACTGGCGCACAGTTTCCACTTTGACGAATGTGTTCAACGAAATGGACTGAACAAGATCTTGAGCGAACATGCTCCTCAGTGAGAAACAGCTGCTCAATGCGGCAGGCAAACGATCCATCATAAAGGAGCAGGCACACCGTCCACCGCTCTCCAACCGACAATCCGCGATCAGCATGTGTAGATCCGCGTAACCCATCAGTCCCGCCGCATGCTCAATACGGTGTCACCGAGGTGGCAAGAATCCTCATGCTGATTCATCAGTGGTGAACCTGGCGCCAACTACAACCCTGAGGATGATTCGACAAAACGTATCCTCGAGTGGCACAGGTACGAGGCGGTGAGGTGGCATTTTGGGAGGATATTTGTGAATATCAAAGAACGATTATGCACGCAGACATCGCAAATGGCAACTCTGGGAGGGATCCCGCAGAGGATTAGTACGACGCAGCTCGCGAAAGACTGGCGAGCTGGGTCGTTCAATACCAACACTCTCCGAAATGGGGAAAAGTCATGCTCCACCACTGGATGACCTGAACACTCCGTAAACCTGCTAGAGCTAGCATCCATTCGACATCGAAAGCGGCCGAGAACAGTGGCGGTACGTTGCACACCAAGCTGCAGAGAAGGCGGTGGAGGAATGGCGTTCAGCCCAGGGTAATTTTTGGATAGAGGAATGGCAAGATTGCACTTTGTAATGCTTCTCTCCTGTGGAAATACAAGAATATCTCGCAATTACAAACAAACACAGGGCGCACTGCTGATTGGGCAGGTGTGGCAAAGATTCCAGTCGCGGAGGGAGAAGTCGACGCGCAAAGTCCGAGACGTCGGCACTTGTAGCAACTGAGAAGTAGTGAGCTCAAGGAAAGTGTGCGTATGTACGAGGTAGTACCTACATAGGTAGCATTGAGATCACGAGAATGCTACGTCGTAAAAGGGAGATGTGGTTGGATAACAGCAGGACCGGCATCATGAGGCATTGGATTTGGCTAGGCGGTGGTGGCGCTGGTTGGTGGCGGTTAGCGTGGCCGACTAACCCAGCAGGTGCTGTTGGACAGCCACAGCCTGCACTGTACGAGGTAGCCGTGTACGGGGATGCCCTGGGGGATGTATGGGCTCTACTTGGTACTTGTTACAGCAACCTAAAGCTGCCTGGGATGGGGGTGCCCCGCATCATGCAGCCTATGGCCGAGGAGAGCCTTTCCCCCACGAGGAAGCTCGCACGAAGGAACTGGAACACGCTCCCACCATACCAACCTAGGTACACAACCCTCTCGCTCATCCATGCGGCCTTTATCAACCATCCCCTACTCATCTCTGAGCAAGGCGTCATCTATGTGCCATCGTCTCTCTCTTGCCAGGAAATCAAAGCCCATGGTTGAGTTAGCTGTGAGTACGGACCACTCAGTACCTGGTATGTACGACCAACTGACCGAGGTATCTACCCCATGCTGCGTCTCAGCGGCAGAACGTTGTTAGATGGCCGGCCCCACCCTCCTATTGCGTCTCCTCACACCTCACAAGTATCCCTGTGCTTGTTACCAGCCTCCAAAGAGGTAAGCATCGTGCCAATGAAGACGCCCATCCACTAGCCCATCCCCTCCCCCGACCCCAGCTTGCCTACCTGACTTAACGGCGCGGGCCCCCCAGGGCCGTCATCCAACACCAAAACTGCCTAGAAACTGCTTGTCCAGAGTCCCAGACCCTGCTTTGACACCAAGCAGTCCTCGCCTACGAGCCCCAACTTCTGCCAACCCCCGCTCCATGGTGGTCCATGGTCGAGGCTTGACTCGCCCGTGTGCCGCTTTCTCCTCTGATCCCTTCACCGTCTCATGTGAGCGAAAAAAAATCTCCCCACACAACTACGCTTTCTGCTATTGTTGCTGGCACCCCTTGAATCACGCCCGCAGGTGCAGGAGCTGTCTCCGGTCGCTTGCCGTTGACTACCATCCCGACGCTCTCGACTGCGCATCTTCTTCTGAGAAACACCAATCTCTTGACGACGACGGTTCATCCAATTCTCAAGCGATGACAGTGGCCCTGTGCTGCCGTCGCCCTCGAATCCCGCAGACATGCTCTCCCGCATTCCCCCACAGACCCATAACTCCTACTCGGAATTCCACGACTATGCTCAGAGACCCGACATGATCACTTCTCAACCTCAGCAGCTTACCTCGATGCTCCAGAACCAACCCAAACCATACGACAATGACAATCTGCAAGCCGGTCGCAAGAGAAGAGAGTCGGAGCTGGACCAAAATGATACGAACGATTCGGCGGCAGTCCGACGACGAATAAGCCGTGCCTGCGATCAGTGCAATCAACTACGTACCAAATGCGACGGCAAACAGCCCTGTGCCCACTGTACGGATAATGCTCTCGTCTGCGAATATGCTCGCGCTCATAAGAAACGAGGGCGGGCTCCAAAGAAAGAGACGGATGCCGCCGATGATTCCAACTATGCCAATACCGCTCAACCGGCCAACAACAATGCCTCCGCTGTTCGCCAGTCGGCTGGTCCCAGAAAGTATTCCACCACTTCCTACGCCGGTCGCGATAGCATGCTCGATGGAAATCCATTGCCTACCAACACCACACCCTCTAGCGCTGGGTTTGACGCCAACCATCATCAGGCGGCTTTCTTTACCAGTTTTGATCCCTCTTCGGGAGTGGGTATTCCTGCGGCCCGTCAATTGCACGAGATGGATCAGTCCATGGTACCTCAAATTACCCAAAGTCAAGCCATTGATTTTGCCGTTCCCAACCAAGCGTATGCGCCATCCACCCTCGACTCCATGCACGTGCAAGGGGCAGCACAAGGCTTCGGGTTTCCGCTGGGAGACGACTATTCAGTCGCGTTCATGGGTAAAGCACCTATGGTCGAATCGCCGGATTGGCTTGCGCTCACGTCGCCCATGTTCATCAACGACCCCTTACCGGCTCAGCCTCGCATCACAGATACGCTAAGATATCCCGTGCTCCGTCCTCTGCTGCCTCACATTGAATCCATCATTCCTCAAGCTTTAGCGTGCGATCTGTTGGAGCAATACTTCACCAGTTCAACTTCGGCGTATCTGAGACCTGCCAACCCGTACATATTGGGCTACATCTTCCGAAAGAAGTCTTTCTTGCACCCTACCGATCCCCGTCCATGTACTCCTGCACTCCTGGCGAGCATGTTGTGGATCGCGGCGCAAACCAGTGATGCTGCTTTCTTAACAACTCAATTAGACGCGCGAGCTCGGATCTGTCAAAGATTGTTGGAACTCACCATAAACATGCTCAAACCTCTAATTCACAGCCACCCCAGCACCTCCGCTCCGACGCCGAATCCCAACTACCCGCAGATGGCGGCCAATGATGGCGGGTTGGGTGCTCTCGTTGTGCCAACACATTCCGGAGGTCACGGCGTCGATCGGGCACAAATTGACAATCTAGCGACGTACATACACCTGGCTACGGTGGTGTCCGCGAGCGAACGAAAAGCAGCGAGCCTCCGATGGTGGAATGCTGCTTGGTCACTCGCTCGAGAAATCCGGCTGGGTCGTGAGCTTCCTCCTAATCCGCCGGAGCAGGATGGCGAAGAAAATAATGCTGGAAGCAATCACACAGACGGCCACTCGGGAGAAAACCGAAAGACCTCTGTGGATGATACGCGGCGCAACTCTATCGGCTATGTGTCGGAAGAAGAAAGGGAGGAACGACGGCGGACCTGGTGGCTACTGTACATGCAAGATCGTCATCTAGCGTTGTGTTACAATCGACCCATGTTCTTCCTCAACAAGGAGTGTGAGAGCCTGCTGCAGCCACTGGACGACGACGTCTTCCAGGCCGGGCGATTCGACAAGGCGTCGGATCCCGCGCATCGCAGAAGAGGGTTAAACATTGAATGCACGTCGCACAGCGTGTTCGGCTATTTCCTGCCTCTGATGGTAATCCTGGGGGAGATTTTGGATCTCAATCACGCCCGCAATCGACCACGGTTTGGACCTAGGGCTAACAAGGCTAAAAACTGGGACGATCACACCGACGAGATCACTCAACAGCTGGAGACGTATGGACAGAGTCTGAAAGATTTCGAGGCCTCCGGAGGACATTCTCAAGATACCAGCCACAACGATGTGGTTACTCCATCGGTGGTATCGGCGGGCACGAATGAGTCCCACAGTGCTTCGGAACTGGCGCTGCAGACCAAGACTGTTGTCGCCTATGGGACACACATTATGCACGTGCTGCATATTCTCCTGACCGGCAAGTGGGATCCGATTGCGTTACTGGACGACAACGACCTCTGGATTTCTTCTCAGTCATTTGTAACTGCCACGGGACATGCGGTGAGCGCCGCTGAGGCAGTGGCCGAAATCATCGAGGATGATCCGGACCTGAGCTTTATGCCCTTCTTTTTCGGCGTGTATCTTCTTCAAGGCAGTTTCTTGCTGTTATTGTTCGCGGACAAACTGCAAGGCGACGTCAGTCCCGATGTGGTCAAGGCTTGTGAGACGATTGTTCGAGCGCATGAGGCGTGCGTCGCCACCTTGGATACGCAATATCAGGTAAGTGGATTTGGAGACGCGTGCAGCATGGAAATATGTCCAGGGACTGACATCAGGGGCAGCGCAACTTCCGGAAGGTGATGCGATCGGCTCTTCAGCAAGTGCGAGGACGCATCCCCGAGGATTTGGCCGAGCAGCAACATTGGAGACGCGAGGTGCTTGCTTTGTACAGATGGACTGGTGACGGCACCGGCCTTGCATTGTAAACACATACGCAAACAAGAGGACTGATTGCCATCCTGCGCCATCACCCTCGAGAGGTATGCAGAGACGGAGATATCTTAACATTGGGAGGATTCTTCTGGTTGCATGCATCGAAATACCCAAAGCAATCACTGCCTCGCGCAGGATGTTTACGAATGTTTTTGTCTATGAGAGACGACACAACTCCCACAACGGAAGGGAAGTTGACATCATGACGGAAGAAGTTCGAGATGCGGAAATTGGATATGGGAAAATTCTTTGTGATGACGCGTTGTCGCGTGCGCACACATCTCCTGCTACGGCACTCGGTCATGGGCTCCGGGAGAAACTTGCTGGCACAAGATGTGTATATTGGGACAAGGCTTTGCGTCGTGTCCTATCTGATAAGGTTGATTTTGTCGATAGTTTGAGTACGCTATATGTAAGCAAGCAGACAAGGCGAGATTGGTGTTTATCCAAGAAGTTGACGAGTGGCTCGAGGGTTCCGGGGATGGATTTCGTCATGCCATCATCGGGCTTGTTGTGGGCTATCTCCAGGCACAAAGCTGAGGGTGTTTAGACTCGAACGAGGTCTGGGTGCCGGAGCCCCCATTTGGCAACCTGGACTTGTAAAGAAAGGCCAGGATATGTGAGACGACGCAAGGATTGCTGTTGTCCTTATCGGTGTAATATTAATTACTGTTATGGGGAGGAGTCGTCAGCAAAACCCCGGGTCCCGAAACGAGATGAAGAGAGAGGAGAGACAATGCACTCCGAGGGACGAGGACGAGGTGCTGACAGGGAAATGTGGCTGCTGAACATTGTCACTTGGACCCGTTGGATACGGAAACAGTTCATCAAGACTTCTGCTCTGGGTCGCGACGTTTAGCATGAGGCTGTTGAAATGTTTCAGTTGTTTTCCTCCCAAGCGCAGTGGGAGGTGCCTGGCAGACAGGGTTTGGGCACTTCCCGAGTGGGTGCGGTGGGTGCTGGGTGCTGAGGGAACCGCAGGCGCCCATCTGATGCTCAACTGGCGACTTCTTACTTGTAGTGAAGTCCGGTTAGGCGGTTTATTTGCGTTAGTTGGCAGCCTAGGGTGCCCAGGCCCCAGGGAGCCTCGGCCGCCTAGGTAGTCTAGGTACCCGACTATTGCTGTGGCGAGCTGGGACCCCCCCTCCCAGTGACCACCTTACGCCCGCCCAAAAAGCCATGGTCCGCTGAGGGCATTTGGCGCACCTCAATTTACCAAGCCCGGATGGCATTTTATTGGCAGCCCGGCGCCTCAAACTTAAGACACTCTCCAAAACCTAACCAACGACCTCGCCAGCATCTCGCGCCGCAAGACTCCATCGAACCCCATCCACCTGATCCCGCCGTTGGTTCGAGCCCTTGCCCAATCCGGCCCATTCTCCATCGCCATGGCAAGAGAGCGCGCTGGAAATAGAGACCCCGGGAGGGAGAAAGAGGAGGAACAGGAACAGGAACAAGAGGAAGAAGAGGGAGAGACTGTCCAGAACAGACCAAAGGAAACGCAGAAAGACATGGAGAGCCCTTTGTCGCCTTCTTCCCTTCAAATCCACGCCGTCGATCATCGCCATTGTCACAGATCCCATCGGCAAGAATGCGACAAGACACTAACATGTCGGTTCTTGCAGCCACACCACTGCGCCAGGTCCAGCAACTTGGGTCCTGGTGAGAGTCACTGTTGCCCCTCCTTGTTATTTCCAAACCACCATTTTCCCATCCACGGCATCCCTCGTCCATCCCTCCATTTAGCTATCTATCCATCAATCGCTCGCCCGTCAGCTACCCTCCTTTCGCTTCTTTCTCATCACTCGTTCAGTCTTCGGCAGCTGCGGTCTGTGTCGAACGTGTCGCGCCCCTTGCGACGGAACACCGCTAGTCCATCACCTTCCACTCTGACTCCGTTGACCACGTTTTTTCCTCTTCGAAGGACCCAGCCGAGAGCACCGCTTTGGGAATGACGATCGCACCGCCAATTCCACACCGCAACCGCTGATTCCCTTTCCAGCATCCGAAGATCGTCTGCAGTTTCCCTCTCTACAGATTGGGCACCGGTCGTGCTGCAAGTTAGCGACAACGTCTTGCATTCGTTATTGAATGTTGCGTAAAACCGGAGGAGCTTGGCCCTTTTTATTGTTGCTTGCCTGACAAGCCAGATTGTCCGGTCACCTGGGGCTGGGCCGGACGCGGGACAGTACTCCTCACTGTGCCACCGCAACTGGCTGACCGGATATCCTCCAGCGGACTTTTGACGGCATTATCCTCCTAGCAGAGCACTCTCGTCCAACACCAGCCATGCTAGCGATGGCTACCGCAAATCCCACGGGTGAGTGCCTTGTGTTGTCTCAGCTAGGAAGCTTACCTTGCAGACGTCAAGCTCTGTTTGGGCCTACCACTGACATCAACACCAACCATTTCCGTTGACTGCCCTCACGGACCCATCTCCAGCAGCCCTGCCCTGCCCTTTCCAGTTGTCGTTATTTATTTGATTTTTTTTTTCCCACCAAGAACCTCACCCATGTCTTGTCCGACGTCCACTAACCTATGCGTTTCGTTCTCATGCAGACCCGTTTGATATGGCCAAGTTACAAAAGACGCTGAAGCAACGACAACGTCATGCCGTCCGAAACAGTGCCAACGTCACCAAACTTACTCCGGCCGAGATTCGATCGCTTAATCATAGTGCCCTAGCTTCGAAGACGGGAAGTCAATCCAGTTCGAAATCGACTTCAACTCACTCCCGATCAAGACGTTCAACCAATGCAACTCCTCCAGCATCCCCTGATGAGCTTCCACCCTATAAGGCACAGACACACCGAAACTCTGTCTCCAAGAACAACAGCGTCAACATCCCAACCCCTCCACTTACGCCTAATACTCATCGAAGATCGTCCCAATCTAGCACCCATGGCCATCATTATGGCCATCAGGTGGTCCACAGCCACGCAAACGGTATTATCCATGCTCCTCGACCCCGGGGATCTGCGCAGGCTGCCTTCATGTCGGCGAATGGCTTGTCTTCTCGCCCATCAAGCTCTGGGTCTTCCTCGTACCGTGGACTTCCCACCTACCGAGGGCCAGAAGTCACACGAACAGGGTCCTTGACCATGCTACAGCACCCTTCTCAGAAGATTGTCTCCAATCCGCTGTCTTACTTTTCAAGGCCGAGACAGAGCCAGGTCAGCACGTCGCCAGAGCGGGGGAGGCATGAATCACCAGAAGTCAGCATTTATCGCGCTCAAAGTTTGCGGAATTTACGCACCAACTCTGTACCGAACGTCAGCGCTCCATCATCAAGGCCTGTAAGTCCGCCGAGAGTGACTGACTCACCCGTCTCGATGATTGTGGATTGCACCGAGAAGTTCCCAGTCTTAGACCCAGCAGATGATCCGCACAATCAGCCCAAGGTTCAAAGTGATGAAGAAGTCGCTCCAAACGAACAGAACCTGGAGAATGTCGATCCTCGGCCCAAACAGGCAACAGATTCGCCCATCAAAAAGGGAAATCAAACTGGCCAGCCGGAATCGCCCAAGAAGGACAAAGAAAAGCAGAAGAGGTTTACGATCCATGCCGCACTCTTCGGTGGAGATAAGGGCAACCATGAAGGTGCAGAAAATGGGGGCAAACTCAAGAAAATGAGAAGACGAACTCTATCCTTTGGCAAGAACAACGATGAGAAATCTGAAAACAAGACTGCGATCTCGGTTGAGGCAGTTGACGAGGTAAAAGTGGATGGCGCGACGATTGAGAACGATAATTTTTCGACACATCCGGCTATTCGCCCACTTTCTGTAATTGTCCCGAGCGAATTCAAAGGGAAAGAAAAGGAAATCATCTCTGCTCCGGTCTATGCTCGATGCTCGTGCTGTGGGAAAATGAAACGGCCCCCGGGATATGCAAGTGGACTTAGTCCCGTGCTGGAAAACGAAAACCTAAGAACAAACTTCAGCTTTGAGATTGAACGAACATCTGGGTCATCCGAGAGGCGGAGTTCTGATGCGAGCCGACATAAGTTTACGCCCATTATCCCAATGGAAATGGGTGAGAACGAAATGCGTCAGGCGACAATTGAACCGTATACGGGTCCCTTAAAGGGTACGGCCGAGAGTGAGCAGATGCCACACATGGATATGAATATTGCTTCCTCGAGTCCGGTCAAGCAGCCCATCGGACAGCCGAGTTCGAGTCCACGGAGGATGAAGAGACATTCTACCCCATCTCAACTTGTCAGGTTTGCAAGTTTGCATGGACGACGAAATGTGGGTGCAACCGTGATAGCCGAAGAAAATGAGGAGGCTGAGGCGGAAAGAGAAGCGGACGAGAGTCAACCTCTCATCAGCGAGCCAGCGGACCCCGAGACAACTGGTGTTCACAATCAAATTGTCGATGACGCTGCCGTTGCAGCCGAAGATGTAATTGCGAACAGCCAACCTGTGATTGAGCTGATATCATCAGCAGACAGAGCCTTCGTTGAACCAGTACCCGTGATGGCGACCCATGATTCCCAACTTATGACCAGCGAGATTACAGACAGTGTTCCCCTGACACAGCCGAGCACAGGGGCGGGTGCAGACATGGTCCCCACGCCTGTTGCCACCTCAATTCAGGCTGCAGCTTCGACTCAGGCTCAAATTGTGACAGACGATAAGGTGGAAGACAATTCCGCTGCCATACTTTTTGCTGAAACACCCACGTCCACCACCACTACGTCCGCAGCTATTGCAAAATCCGGATCAGAAAAGTTCGAACCAGAATTCTCCGCCTCATTCTTCGAGACACCTGATTTATCACTTACTCCAAAATTCGGCCCTGATGCGAAGCCAGCCAACGGTGACAAGGAGTTAGAGAAGGCAAACGACAGGCCAACAGGAAAGAGGAAGTCGACAGCGACCGAATGGGTGGCCGAAGTTATGGCTGTGAATGCGTAGTTGCAGACAGGAGTACAACTTCAGATGGGGCGGGTAGAATGGGTAGCTTCGAGATAGCGGAGGAGGAAGTTATAGGAGGATATGTCATATATAGCATATACTAGATGTTTCGATTTAATGTGGCACGGACGACTGAGGAACTGGTGGTTAGCGATTTTGGGCCATTGATGTATTTGTGTGAGAATAGATGTAGCATCATCTATTGAATCAACGAGACGACGAAGGAAGAGATATGTGTCCTAAATAAAATCGGGCGATACATTTACATACGAGGAGGCAGTTACCCGCGCCGACGGGACACAGAACCTCAGGCCAGGGGGAGACGAAGAAAGGAGAGTAGACTATAGTGCAATACGGAGTACATTGTGAGTATTATAATCTTTGAATTGTCTTTCTGTCTACGTACTGTAGCTCCCTTCCTTTTCCACTGTTCCCGAGCTTCTTCCGGACCATCTCTCTCTCTCTCTCTCTCTCTCTCTCTCTCTCTCTCTCTCTCTCTCTCTCTCTCTGACTTTCCGACCTTGCAAAATGCCCCATCCTCCTATTTGCTGCGGCTAGCTAACGAACAGATGGACAAGCAGATGGACTAGATGGGCTAGATGTAGATAAGGCGAGGCTAGACAAGCACCCAACTGGCCCAGACCCAGCCGACCTCGCCCGCAACGCCGACAAGCAGGACGACGACGCCCATGACGAGCCCGACGCCGACGCGGGCCTGCGCGTCGCGCCGCCAGCTCAGCGTATACTCGTGACCGCCCACCGTCGTCGCGCCGTCGCCTGCCGCGGCGCTGCGGCCCGGGTAGCCGAACAGGATCCAGAACGTCGCCGTCAGGCTCGATAGCAGGAGTAGCAGAAGAGTAAAGAGGGCGATGGAGATGGCTGAGAATGTGTGGTGGAGATGGATCCTGGGCGGACCTTGTCGCTGCGGGTGCTGGAGATGTTGGTGTTGGAGTTGGGCCAGGTAGGTTGGGTGAGGATTCGTTGCGTAGGAGCTGGACGGGGAGAAAATGGAGGAGGAGGAAGACGATCCGTTGGTGAGCGCTGCGAGGGATTTGGTCCGGTGGAAGGACATTGGAGTTGATGATGCCTGGAAGGGCATTCGCGGGAGAGAGATCGAGGGCTGTTTTGCTGTTAGAGCTGGACCTCCACTTCCACCTGCACCAAAACCAAAACCAAAACCAACGCCGTTACTGGGCCCGTGTGCCTGTGTTGTCGGTGATGGCTCGATATTATAGCCCTTGATGCCGTCGCTGTTGTTCCGCGAATGGACGAAGGAGAAGACCGGGCTTGTCGCATTGTTGGCTTCGCCTCCTTGTTGCTGGGGACTGCTACTACCATGACACCCGTATCCTCCATACCCAGTGTGTTGCTGCTGAGGCAAGTAGGACCTACTCCCCCGGCGTGCTGTCGGGCTGTTATTGTTGTTATTGTTATTGTTATTGTTGCCATGCGAGTCGTGATGCTGCTTGTTCCGGAGCCAGAGCAGCCACATCTTCCGTCTCCGTCCAACTCGGGGTTTGAGAAGATGCCGCACAAAGTCTGCGCCGTCAAAGTCTCCTGCTCCACCGCCCGTACTGCCGCCGCCAACCTGCTGCTGTTGGCCGAGCCAGAACGGCACTCCTCGCGCAAATGGCTGACTTGTTGTCCCCGCGACATCACTGCCGCTGGTGCTGCTGGCACCCTCCAAGGTCCGCGCGCAGAACCACCATCTTCCACGTCCCATAAGCTTCGTCACATACTTGTCCCGCACGATGCTGAACAATTGCTCGTCGTCGAAGGTCGCCTTGTCGGTGACCTCGATCTCCACCGTAACCCGGGCTGATGGGTGGCGGGTTAGGCACAGGTCCAGGAAAAGGATCTCCGGGCCCGACGGGGAAGGGAAGCGGTCGGATTTTGCCGTTGCAGGCGGCACGGGGGCCGGAGAGAGGAGCGTGGGTTTTGTGGAGAAGGGAATTTCTGGGGCGAGGTCTCTTTTCTCGTCCTGGAAACCCTCTCTAGTGTTGTTGTTATTGCCGGTAGTGGTATTCTTGCTCTCGTCGTCGGCTGCTTTCTCGTCGTCTTGTTCGGACTTTTCGGGTTGATAAGACAGAGGCCTCGACCGCCTCAGCTGGAGCGTCTTTGCACCTGTTTCTTGAGGTCTGTGAGAAGAGATCTCGTCAATTTCGCCGATACTGCTATGTCTCGCCGGGTACGGTGTGCTGACGATATTCTCACGAAATAGTTTATGGTCGTGGGCACCCTTGTTGATGATCAAATCCGTAGGCCGGATCATGACTCGTCGCGCCGGGTTACGCACTGGTGCTGAGATGGCGCGGGAAAGTTTTTTGTCGTTCTCGGAGGGGGGGTTCGAGTGGAGACCGTCTGTGACGATGGACGGAGGAGAGACATAGGTGGCATTTGTACTCAGGCTTGTCGAGTAGGTTGCGTCGGAGGTGCGAGAGATGCGTACAGAACCAAACCCGCCGAACGGTGTAGGCAAGGTATCGAGCGCTTCGATACGGGTGGGAGTGTCTGGCCACTCGAGGATGGTTTCTTTCATCGTGTCACGCGGCTCGTTGCTGACTTCGGCCGGGACCTGGGGAAGGGCGGTGATGTTGTCATCCTTCATTTCCAGCACTTCTTGACCTTCGAGCGCCTTGAGAACGACACCTGGGCCGCCTGGGACCACAGTTTTCTCACTCTTCTTGACAGTAGGTGTCAAGTCGTAGAGGGATTTGAGTCCTTCGCCCAAGGTTTGTGATGCTTTTCCTATGCATGGCGCATCATTCATCGACGTCGGGGTTGAGTGCGGAACATATAGCTTTGAGACAGAGCCACCTGAGCTGTTGCTATGCTGCACAATATGTGGTCTGCTCACTCGGACGCTGCTTGCTCTGTGGATGATCGGGCTTGTAGGGTCCAGCTCAGATGAAGTATCAGAATCCGAACTGTACATCGTCCGCGGCGGCTCGTCATCTCGACTTGTGGAAAGGACAGGAGGGATGTCTCCAATTGGTTGGAGCTGCCTTGTCACTGGGTCGTAGAATGGGTCTGTCGGGCTTGAGTTTGTCGTGTCCTTTGATTGCCTCTTTAGCTTCGATTTCTTTTTGAGGAAGCTTCTTGGTTCCGACAATGCATCGGAAATCTCTGATTCTGTGGTGGTTTTGGACCATCGACTGACCTCTGTAGGAGGCTGGTGTAGTCGGTCTTGCGATTGTCGCATCAGCCGAGAAATTCCTCTGCGCAAGCCAGAACTCGGCGAAGACGATCTCGGTACGCTGGCAGGAGACATTTCGTTGACCTTCTTGTCTGCGGCGGCTTCTTCTTTCTGAGGCTTCGGACTACGAGGAACAACGACTTGTTTACGGGCAAAGACTCGTATCGGGCTCGAAGGGTCGAAGACCATGCGCAATGAACATCCACAACAAGAGAGATATCAAAGAGCTCGGATTTAGTATCATCGCTGGAGGGTGTTTTAAGCAGCATCATCTTGGGTGATCGCTTGCGGTGAGCGCTCATAGTTGAAAGAATATTTCCGTTTGCGGCAACATCTGCTCTCAGAAAGCCGTTCGAGTTGTCGAGGAGAATTTCAAAATCCGGCGACGGCTGGATAATTTGACTTCTTCGGACACGACAAAGAGACGCTCAATACCACACCTTTCTGCTAACATGGCAGCGGTGGACGGGAAACCTGTTCTCAGCCCCAATCTCTGATGGTGACACAGAATGCTTCGTCGAGCCGCATTCCAGTCTCACCCCCGAAACTTGCCTTGGCAATACGGGCAGACATCGAAGTTGTCAAATAGCGCTTGACTCAAGCTTGGACCATCCGCAGATTCCAGTTTGCCAGGGTCGAGGAATTGCCTACCGCATTTAGAACAGTACTTCGAAATTCCAGGCTCTTGGATAGCAACGAAGGAAAGACTGCAACGGCAGAATTGATGACCTCGGTTGCATCTCGCCCGACTTGAGTCTGCTGAAAACGGAATGATATCACCACAGAGCTCGCAAATCTCGTAGTCTAGACCTTTTTTATCTCCAGATTCGGCAACTGTGGTGTGGTCCGCATTACTGTCAGCCTGCCGCTGCACAGTACTGTCTTGTTGCTTATCCGTGCCACTGGTATCCTCGCCGGAAGCACTCGTTGGAAGTAGAGTCAGCAACTCGTCTGTCCAGTGAGTGAGAGTCGGTGAGTCTTTGAAATTCAGTTTTATCAGGGCAGCGGCAGTCCGCAAAATGTTCCTATCGAGGTCTGTTTTCACCAAGCCAAATGGTGAGTCCCTCACAAACTCAAGGATGCGCTCCTGCACCCTTGACGGATTCTCTGCAATGTAGTCCGAGATGAGCGGCTCGTGCGTGTGTATGAATACCACTGTAGTGCGTTGACTCGACGGTGCACCATACTCAATCATGTCCAAAGGGTGGAATGAGATGCATGCCGCTGCGATGGTGTGATCAGGAGAGAACGCAGTGCCCCAGTAATTGACGCGAACTCTTCCCCCAAGTCCGAACTTCCGGTCGAAATCCGAACGAGGCTTCTTAACTGCAAGATTGAATTGGCTGTCGGCAGGCGTTTCGAGGAAGACCGATCCCGACGCCGACCTTGAAGGTCTGACTGAAAGCGCCAACTCATGTTGGGTTTGGCAACTGTCTGCATCTACCAACTTGGCCTGTAGAGACACATATTTCGCCTCGCTGCACTGGCCAAAGCTTACCTTGATGTCCACAGCTGCCGTCCTGGGATGGTTACTTGGATCATCCTTGATTTGCCATTTGCTTGACTCCAGCTTCGAGATCGGTGAGGATTGGGCTAGAATCGTTCGCAAGCTGAGCTTTCTCATCGCATTGGCATCAAAATGCTGTAGATCGGGGACCTTGTACTGTCCAAGAAGCTTGAAGGACCACTGTCCATATACAGTACCGTGTGTCTTCCATAGTTGAAAGAACGAGATTGTGAAATCATCGTCGGCCACAGCCAGGAGCTGGAGGCCCCACCTGGGTTCTGTGGAAAGTGAGAGTGCGGGTAGCCAGTGAAAGGCGCGAACACGTCGTTTTCGTCTAGGAATGCTGGTGTCCTCGTCACTGGATTGAATCGGTAGGAACTGATTGACAACTGCCGTTCGCTGCCAGGTCCCCAGCCTCCCATTAGACTCCCAAAGTGAAAGAATGAGGTTCGAAGTCAAAATCGCAAGAACGCTTCTTCGGTAAATACCCAGTCCAGACGGAGACCAAGAGAGTGACAGAACTGTAGACTCAGAGAGTTCCTCGCCGATCGAGAACTGAGTGATGGTGGCTAAATCTTGAAAGGGCCATTCGGAAGGGTCGAATTGATTAACACGGAGAGCAAAGGTGTGCCATTGCTTGTGTCCTGGATCTCCCTGGGATCGAGATGCATCACGAGGGGTTAGGATATACACCTGCTCACCTGTAGCAACGGCCAAATCCTCGAGCGACCAGGTCAGCGCATTCTTGCAGGTTGGCCAATATGAAAGAGTGACCGGGTCCAGGCTGCTTCCTCTGAGAGTGTCCATTGAAAACAAGAAAATGAGATTGGCTGACTACAATCAAGCGGTGAAGCCGTGAAGCGAGGGGGAAGCGTAGCGGTGGCTCAGTCTGACTGGCTTGCCAGGAAAGATTTTTGTCAACATGAAAGCAAGTGGTGGCTGGACACTTGGCAAAAAAAAAAAATAAAAAACAATGCTGACTAGCACGCGTCTTGCATGGAATATACGGAGTACGGAATATCTTGCGTCGAGCTCGACGACTGAATGGTTTCGGCCTTTTCGTTACTGGAGACTGAGTTAGCGAGGATCGCAATTGCTTTGGAAATCAGATGCCGAAGTAGGCAACGCCAAGAGACTTCAGCCCTGCACGTGGGAGAGAAGAGACTGACAAGGCTGGCGAGAAAACCCGTTGTTCCCGATTTCCGAAACCCGTCAGCTAATCTTCGATCGCCGCTTGCTACTGTACATGTGGGAGTGGGCGAGACCAAGAAAGCAAAGGGAGGGCCTGGATGCCCCTACGTGGTGCAGCTGGAGGACTTATGTACAAGGATACGAGTATCCAATTTGATCTTGCTGATACGAAGGGTGACTTTCTCCTCGGCCTGAATACTCCCGTCAGCATACCCATGGCACCAAAGGAAGACTGGGAGCAAGAAGCATCTGAGAAGTGGTGCTACCGTGGCCTGTTGAAGCTGTTGTCTGCTGGTGCTTATGATAATGATGATGATATGGCCTGCTAGGCAAGGTACACTACATACTCGGTACAAGATGCTGGGTACGGGGGATGGATCGAAGGATCTTGAGCTGCACCCGCAATCCAAGGTTTGCCATGTTTCAAAGGGTGGCGCGTGTTATTGGTAGGCTTTGCTGGGCCTTGTGTAGCGGCGGATGATTAGACAGTGTCTCGATGGTATTCAGATGGTTTTGGACGACAGGAAATTACATCCAAAGTCATGTGATCTCACATCTTCCCCAGCAGGCCGAGTCTGGCCGCATCGAGCCATACTCAATCCGTCGATTGGCGCCACTACGGACATGCCAATCTTAGCAAAGCGGCCTCAGGGGCTGTATCAGGGGAACGCTGCGGATACCCCGTGGCTTGTACCGCTCGTGTTCCAAAATTGGGGACAAATGGATCCACATCTGTCCCCTTTGGGTATGACGGTGTTATGATTGACAGGCCCTAGTCAAGGCCTAATGTGGGACTAATGTATCGTGTCGCCCATTTCTCAAGCATGATGCTGCCAATGCTCGGGGGCTGAGGCATCTCCTGGGAAGAACAACGTGTTAGCCACGGACACAGTCTGACTTTCTGCGCTCCCAGGCCTGATTGCGAACTGTGCCCTCCTGATGCGCCTATCACATCAGCCAGGCTGGTTCTTCGGAGGAATTGCCCAGGCCCGTGGCCCAGCCTATCTCGGATCTTCCTAATGGCTTGATGGCTTGATGGATTTGATGGCTTGACGGCTGGCCCAACTGGCCCTAATATATTACTGGCGCCCTGACTGCCCACACCTCCCCTGGTGTCCTGTTTGTCCTTCCATATCTATTCACCCCCTTCCCTTCGTTTGGTTTCTGTTTCTCTTGCAATTGTCAGTTGCAGGGCAGTCCCTTTTCTTTTTGCCAACCATGGCGGCCTCCATCTCGCCGTCGGTCATCATGACCCAGATCTCTAGCTATCTCAATGCCAATGAGACCTCCGACGTTCTTTTCCAGTCCCAACAAGCCGTAAATGCCATTGGGACCTACAAGTGGTTCATTGGCACTGGCATTTTCGTCCTGGTCACCGCTATCCAGATTATCAAATATGCTCTGAGGGACCGCCCTCCGCCAGGTCTCAAGCTCATTCCTGGCCCAATGAGCACCATCCCCTACATAGGCCGCGTCCACGACGTCGACCCAATGGCCCCTTGGTTTGCGATGAAAAAGTTCTGCGATGAATATAATGGTATTTTCCGCTCCACCATCTGTGGTGAGATGCATATCTGGGTTGGTGATGCAAAGATCGCCTATGACTTGCTTTGCAAGAAGGCCAGAATCTACTCTTCCCGTCCCATGGTGCCTGCTGTCCCCGGAAGTGATTCCCAAGGACAGTACCTCCCCCTGTTGGCGCATGATGGTAAGTTCGAGAATCCACCCAGTTGATGAAGGTGTCAATTCTAATGCTCAAGGCAGATCACTGGCGCAACCAACGCAAATTCGCCCACACTGTCCTGACCCAGGGCTTCAACCAAAAATACTATGGCTATGTCAGCCACGAGTGCAAGCGATTCCTGTACAAGCTCCTCGTGGACCCCAAGGACCACTTCGCCTTGACCGATCGATTCTGCGGCCGTATCAGCGCTCGTCTCGGTTACGGCAGCCCTGCCTCTGCTGCTGCTCACTGCAAGAATGCCGGTGAATTCATCCCCCAGATTTCTCCCTCGGGCCCAATCACCAACCTGTTGCCTTTCCTGGGCAGTCTCCCCGAATGGCTTAACCCGTCCATCAGACGCGTGCGTGAGCGACGTGAGAAGGAGGAGAAGCTTTGGAAGGGTCTCATGAAGCAGGTCCGTATGGAAATGGATCAAGGTATCGCTCCCATCAGCTACGCGCGAACCTACTTTGAGCGCAAGGAGGCCGAGGCTGGCAATCGCTCCTTCGGTTTCGATGACCACGAGGCTGCCTATGCTGTTGGTATGTTGGTGACTGTCGCCATCTTCACCATTGGCGGTCCCCTCTACTGCTTCTTCCTCGCTATGGTCCTCCACCCAGAATGGCAAGAGAAGGTCCGCAAGGAATACGACGAAGTCATTGGTGACCGTGTCATTGAAGTCTCTGATGCTCCCAACCTCCCCATCCTTCGCGCAGCCATCAAGGAGTGCGTCAGATGGCGACCGCCAGTCCCATTGGGTGTGCCCCGGCTTCTTGAGGAGGATGACGAATGGAACGGCTATTACCTCCCCAAGGGCGCTGTCATTCACGCTGTCGATCTTGCTCTTGCGCGCAACCCTGAGCTTTACCCCGATGCCGAGACCTATAAGCCGGAGCGATGGCTCGAGAAGGAATACCCCACATACAAGGAGCCTCTTACGGAACATCCCAGACTCATGGGCCACCACGGTTTCGGAATGGGTCGTCGCATGTGCCCTGGTATTGAAGTGACTGAGGCCGAACTGCTCGTCGCTTGCGGCAGCATTATCGGTTGCTTCGAGCTCAAGCCATATTTGGATGCCAACGGTCAACCCAAGTGGCCGGATTCCAATGCTTTCACCCCTAACCTGATCGGTGGCCCCCTTCCTTTCGAGATGGATGTCAAGGTTCGAAGCCCCGAAAAGGCCGCCCGCATCATGGCTTGGTACGAGGAGAGCGTTGCGGATGAAGCTGCCGGCAAGATCGCCGCTGGCTTGTGAAGAGGGGGTTGATAATACTTGATATCATTCAAAAGGCAGTCCTAATTGCTTTTGGAGATATTTTCACATTGGATTAAATGCAAGGCGTTGTTGGGAAGACCAATTTCAGACATGTTGGATATTTGAGGCCGCTTTCATGTTTGCGTGCTGATGAGAATGACTCGACGCCGATCACTTCGTTGGATAACTGTACAGATACTATCTGAGAACGCGTGGAGTGAGATGTGTTGGAAGTAGTAGTTGATAAGTTCTTCGCGATCTTTGGGTAGAAACAATTGAATGACCATGTAATCTACACCAATTCACAATTCTCTCCCATACCACTAGATTCTGCGATCTGCGCGTGAAATTTTCTAGGATAAATTCTCATGTCTTGTTTCACGAGTCGCTACATCACATTTCAACTTCGGTAAGCACATCCTCTATGGTACGGCACCGATATGGGTCAAGCCGGATTTAGAAATAACTGGCACATTCTATCATGGACTATGTACCTGAAGAGTGCGCAATAACGTCAAAGCGGCCGCTATATCGAATATAACTGATAGAATAGGATAAATGACAGAGGAACGCTATTTTCAAGAGACACCGAATGCTCATTACAAACAAAGGCCACCACCGGTCTAACAGCGACGGATTTTGAGTGTGCCACTTATTTTTCAATTCGGCTTGACGGGCCTCTTGTCCAGATTAATTCTCTTGCTGCAGGATCGTAGAGCGCATGCCGTATCTCAGAGGAAGTCGTCGATGCTTTGCTAGACGTTCCTCGCTCCATGTGGTGGAGCTACTTGTTGAATCTCTGAGTGGGAATCATAACATTGACTACTATGTTGTTCTGCATCGCACCGTTCGACGAGGCGAACAACGTCGAGACCCCGTATCTACAACTCTTTCTCAGCATGGGTTCGAGCATCCTGGCTTGTGTGCTGTGTATTCTTCTCCTGGTGCTCATCTTCAGCGACGATATCACAACGCTTGCCACGACCAGGCGTGAGGTCTTCGCTTTTCCCACGAGATGGCGGGTTTCCGTTCTCCAGATGGCTCAGTAAGATCGGGCGAAGGTGAAACATTCCTCTCAATGCAGTATACGCCACATCCTTTTGGTCTGCAGTGCCCTGCGTCATCGCGATTTGCTCAACAACCGCGTAAATGTATTTCCTCGGATGATTTTGTTTGCATCGCGTGAAAGTCATTGATACTTCTCCATGAATATCGACAAAGGCCAATCGATCCTTCCTAGTTCAATATCATCTTTTCTCTCACCTTGCTTTCGCTCAGCACATGCATGGTCTCGATCGGGTGTGTTTGTCTCAAACAGATCAGAGGGGAGCCACTACCAGCAGCGCGATGGAGTCTGAGGCAATATGGACTTTAAATCAACAACTTCGCCTTCTTTTATTGCGGCATTGCAATAGCATTCCGCTTTTCCCATCAGCGTTGCAGGTCGACACGAGTACAGGAAACTGGGTACCGGCAGTGTGGACAGGTGTGATCCTGCTCAATGTCATATCCTGTTTTGTCCATGGAAAGGAACAATTCACGCCACCAGTTGTCTTTGTGGAGGGCAAAGGACTGGAGGATGTCAGGCGACTGAATAGTTCCAGTGGAAGAGAGCTTACTATGACGATTTCGCAGTTGCCAATAAACAATAGATCGGACAATCTTATTGGACTTTTCGTTCCGCAGCTCTGCTCAAAGGTTGTATATCCCCTTTATCGAGTATTATCTACCTAAAGTACGTCTCTTCACGGGAAGGCGAGGATACTTGCACCGCTGGTCCATGATACTCGAGCTGTGCGGAACAGAAACGGCACCGTACCCTCGACGGACTCCGCTGAGCTCTGTCCGGACGCCAGCATTCCAGTCCACTTCTCTTTCTGCTGATCTCATCGCTAATGAGCCGTCATGTATCAAAAGAGCATTCAAGATGGGTTTGGCCTCCTTGACCTGAAGCACAGAAGGGTTCGTTTCGCAACGGTAGCAGGGCAAGCCTGTCACGCAGCCGTGCAGCTGTTTTCCTCGCCCTCACTATTAGCCTCCTTGGCATCCGCCCTTTCTGGCGAGGGGCGTTCCGCTGATATGGACATTTGGCAATGAAAGAAACCCTCTCCTGCAAGTTAGAAAAAGGGACGATGAGCCGAACAGTGGGGGTATAAAATACCTGGCGAGGAGTCCTTCCACCTCCAAGCACCCACATTTCTATCTGCGCCAAGACTGTCGAGATGCCAAGAGACTTGGCAGCTGAAATCTTCTTTTCTCTACCTTTGAGCTTGAAGACGCTTTACGATTTCTTGACCAGGCAGGGCCGGTCCAGCCTTTTCTTTTGAAAAGCCTCAGCGATGGTGGCGAGGGACGACGCTCCAGACCGGATGCTTCTGAGAGCTTCTTAACAAACACCATTTTGGTTCATGATGTCCCGGCATTGACACGCTCTTTCTTTGTCCAACTCAGACACTATTTTCTTCGCATAGGACTCGGCTTTTGGCAAGATCCAGCCCAGCAAGTTTCAGTCAGTATTGCAGCCTAGTCTCGATATGTGATTTTATTGCCTGCCCCCGCGGGCGAATCAGCCGCCCCAAAGTGACCTGGTTGGCTGGAAGGGTTCGTGTTGAGCCTCGTATCAGTTGGGGTCCAGACTTGGGTCTACCAATCCGGGCCAATACAGGCTAGCCGCTAGAGTCAAGCCATGAGCTACCTGGCTTGTTTGTCGTCGCCTAAACCTCCAGCAATGACAACACAAGGACGAAGCCGCTGGGGGCCCAACTTCGTGTTCGTGCCACTTGCACAAGAACAGTTCCCAGACGCTGGTCTTGGACACTGGCTGCTCCTCCAAAGTGGTTCGACTGCAGGGTAAGGGTCCGCGTGGTCTGGCTCTGGAAATGGCTGTCGAGGAAGGTTTAATCATGAGCCATCCCGCCTTTTTGGTCAATGGTATTTCGAAACCAGCCGCCGCAGGGCTGAAGATCTCTTTTCTATCTCGGCTTCCCTCCTCCATGCTACTTCCTTCAAATGGGACCAGGAGCTCCCCTCAAGCTTTGACTTACTTGATCCCAAAGTTGAAGACGTGTCGGCCGCCACGATGAGGCTGGCAACAACGTCTCCATTATTCTTGCTTGCTTTGCCACACGTTGTACATGCGCAATCAGTGGTTACCACCGATGCAAACGGCTATGTATATACTACAGCCGTCTACACTTCAAGTACCACTTATGACGGCGCAACCACCACAACCTATACGGCTCCGACCAGTGTCCCTGCCATCCAAACTGTGCCATTCACGGGTCAGGCGTTACTTGTGGGGACGTATGTGAACATATCCGCCCCACTGTCTCTATCGGTATTGATTCCTTTTGGCCAGATGCAATGTTGCTCGATTCACCCTTCTAACGTTCCCGGACGGCGGTACGGTCGAAGTTCCCCTCGTTGGATGTTCCGATGATCGGCCAGAGTGCTGTCCGTCGTTGAATTTTACAAGTCACGAGCCAGAAGAGACGGGTTCTGCTTCTCCATCAGCCACGGAGTCAAGTGATGAAGGAAATAATGAAGAGTCTAGCACATCCTGGACAGGCACGACTCCCAGTCCAACTCCGACAGGAATCATTTCAATGCTGAGCAATGCTCCACTTACTGTTTGTCCAAGGTATTGCCAATCTTTGAAGGTCCGGGTTGCAAGGGTGTCATCTGATTTTTGATTACAGTGATATGGTTGACATCGACCCGGTTTGCTGGTGAGCCTCCTTTTTTCCGTATGTCCCCATTCATCTTTAGGGAAGTAACTGAACAAACATGCCAGCCCAATCGGCTTCACCACATATGGCCAGAGCATCATCGGCAACCTCCCCTGTGTGAGCACACTCACTACGACCATTTCACCCGATTCGGCGGTGCTGGCGTCCATTACCTCGGTGGTGTCGGCATCCTTGGCCGCGCAATCGACAATGACAACCCCAACAATAAATGTCATAGTGAATCAGTAAGCTCAGCCTCCTTGATCTGCTGCTCAAACACCTCATTTGACCGTTTTGAAACTAACATTCTCGCCAGAGTGTGGGCCCTTGGTCTCCCTTGCGCCGACGACAACGCAAAAGAGGAAAATCACACGCATTTAAGCACGGGTGCCAAAATTGGGATCGGTGTCGGCGTTGGCGTCGCCGCTCTTCTCCTCATTGGCTTCCTCTGGGCCTGTCTCGCCGTCCGTCACCGCCGCAGAGCAAAAATGCGGAAACTCGAAGCCGCCAACACCGCAGCAGGCGGGCCGATTCGCCCCGAATCCGGGGCGTATGCCACAGCACAGGAGAATTCCAAACACATATCCGTGGCGACGACCATGGCGCCGTCACCGGGAATGGGCAGCCCGAATATGATGCAGCAAGCGTACGGCTCACCCGCGCAACATGGATTCAGTCCGGCCTTCGGGTACGCCGCGCCCCAGGCCCAGCCGCCGCAGATGATGCAGGTCCAGGATCCGTATCACCATCCGTACGGCGTTCAACCCGCGCCTCAAGGATATCCCCCAATGGGATACCCGCCGTCGTCCCAATCTCCGCCGCCATTCTATCCTTCCGGCGGCAGCTATGGCGCCCAGACACAACAATACAAAGAACCCCCGGCGGAGGTGGCGGGGGACGAGATTCGCTACTTCCACCCCCATCGTGAAAGCACGGGGCTCGGTACCAGCGACACGCGCAGCCAGACCACTTCGACCACCGCGGTGGGCAGTTCGCAACCGGGCGCCGGCGCGGAGCCGAAACAACAATCGCCTGCCGAACTGAGTTCTCAGGGCTAGGCAGCTCTAGCTTCTATAGCCAGCAGGTGAAGAACATTTGCCTGTATCTTGTTTTCCCAAAATGAAATGAACAGGGTGGATATGAGAACAGCACCAGAATGAGAATGAGAATGAGGATATGGGCATGGGATATGTGTATAGGATGGCGAAGGAATTGGTTAGGTTGGGGTTAATTCAACAATATAGTTTGGTCCTCATGGTGAAACTCTCCAAAAGGAAGATGAGAAAAGGGAAAAGGCGGTGGGAAAGGAGGGAGGGCACTTGAACGATGATAATGACCCTCCCTTTTCTACCATGACATACTACATATAGGTGTATACGGACCATGTTCCTTTGGCAACGTATTTTCCTCGTCCACCCGCCTTCTTCGCTTACATGTGACGTGTTACTTGTCTCTCCCTATGTGTGCTGATCATCTCGCGGCATTGGCGTGCTCTTCCTCACGGACGGATTTGTAGAAGATGTGGATCGTGGGAAATCTGGATAGTATTGCAAGGCTCGTATAACCGGGGACTGGCTCTATCTGCGACGGCATTTGCAGCCGCCCCATCCCTGCCTATAGCGTGAAAGAAAATGGTTCGTGGTGCTGCAATGCCCAGCTCGGCCCATACATACATACATCTGGGTTCGTGATTTCGGCGTGTGCTATTATCATCAAACACATCAAAACCTCGCATGTGGCTCCAAGGCTCACGCTTTCGCGCTCTTCTGGCCCCCGCCGCACCAACACCGCTGTTCCCCTTCTCTCTCCACCTGAATCACGACATCCATTTTCCGCAGTCGTAAATACGTCGAGACTCGCTCCCTGACGTCCTCCAGATCTGCATTCGGTGAGGCAATGATGTGGATCACACCCAACACGGTAGGGTCGGCATTTTCGCCATCACACTTCTTACCATCGCTGTTTTTATGAGAGTGAGAATGCGAACGCGAATGGTCGTCGTGTGTATGAGAATGGCCATGGTGATGGTGGTGACCAGGCTCTTTTTTGATATCCTCCAGCCAGAATTTTGGGACGGTGTAGCCTACGACGCCGCGAATTTCGGCCACGCCACTAAGAATGTCTCGAAGGTTGTATTCAACGTCCGAGTTGAGGGATAGAAGGAGGGTCTTTGTCGTTGTGGTGACGAGAGGGATGGTAGATGCAAAAATGAGAACCGCAATGATACACGATGCTAGGGGATCAAACCCGCTCCAACCGGTCCAGCGGACAAGGAGGGTGGATCCCACAACAGCCAAAGAGCCGAGTGCGTCGGCCATGATGTGGAGGTAGATGCCTTGCATATTTTCTCCGCCATGATGGTGGTCGCTTGCTGCATCACGCCTATGTTTTATCGGTGAAGCCGAAGCGGTCATGGGGGTCCCTGCTGCTTCGTGGTGGCTGTGATCTTTCGTGTCCTCATTGTCATGGTCATGGTCATGGTGGTGGTCGTGGTCATGATGAGAATGCCTATGGCTGTGTCCTCCATGTCCATGTCCGTGCCCATGTCCGTGATCGTGGGCGCCATGGAAGGCGAAAATGCCGACCAGATTGACAAACAAACCGATGGTGCTGACCACAAGCAACTCCGCGGTTCGGCTGACATCGGCACCAGAGAACAGTCGTTCAACGGCCTCGTAGACAATCTCAATGCTGATGAGCATTAAGAAAATGCCGTTGCCTAACCCTGCCAGGGTATCCATCTTACCGTATCCGTAGGGAAACTTGAGGCTGGGAGGCCATTTGCTCATGACAGCGGCGCACACCCCAACTAGCAGGGCTACACAGTCGAAGAACATATGGATACTGTCACTGATCAAACCCAGAGAGCCCGTGAGGATACCATATGTTGACTGGACCACCATGAAGCAGAGGTTCAATATCATGAAATAAAATATCCGCCGGGATTCATCGTCTTCCAGTATCCCATGTAGTAGGGAGTAGCTTTTGGTTGAGTCGAGCAGAAATTGTGTGGGTGCTGAGAAATTTCTTTTGAATGACGGCCGCTTGGTTACATCAAGGGATGAGTACGCCGTCTTCTCTGTGTCCCTTCTCTTGGGCAGAAACTGCGTTCCCGCGTTGTCACGGGAAGGGGCAGGGCTGACATGTCGATGCTCGTGAAAATGCGTATTCACAGGAGGTAAACAATTCGCGGTCATGGCAGCCTCATTCTGCTCGACGATCGACTCGGAGGGAATGCGCGTCAAGGGGAGAGGGGCCGTGAGACGACTTCCTGTTCGAGTTCGTTGATGGGAGCGCGTACTGAGACTCGGACTCGAATGCAGAGGGGAGTGGAAGTGAGAGTGAGAGTGCGAGTGCGAGTGGGAGCTGCCATGGGAAGGACCATGAGGATGCCCATGCTTGCAGTTGTCGGTGGCAGCAATGGGCAGTGTGAAGGTGGCGCTCATGGTCCTTTCAGATGGTGCTGAAGGTTGAGGCGACACTTTGGTGTAGAATCAACATCCACAGTTGTGATAGCCAGCGCTGGGAAGACTCGAGAGAAGCGGTGTCGGTGATGTTGCTCAGGGTTGTTGAGTGTTAACGCGACTGCAGGGTAACTAAGCAGGTTTCCGACTTCTCGATAGGCGCAGGCGGGGGTTTAGAGAAAGAGATGGTCTGGGGAAGAGATTACGAAGATAGCTGGGATAGCTGGGATGGCTGGGTATACATTTCGTGTCTAGCCTGCTGCCCCTGGCTAAGGATGTCAGTGGGCAGCAGGAGCATATGGAGGATTTCAAGGGGCAACGCAGTCGATCCTAGAAGATGGGCCTTGATGGGCCTTTCTGACCTTCGCATCTCGCATCTCGCATCTCGACATGCAGCTCTCTTGCGTCGCTAATTGGCCGACGCGCGGGTCGGTGGGTTCAATGTTGGCGTCTCTCTCGCTTCTAGGCCTTTCAGCCCCCTTTTTTTTTTGGCTTCCTTACCGAGTACCCTGTAATACCTGGCAATTCCTCTTGGTGTCCGTGGTGGCAGGTGTCCTTGCTTCCTTGCTTCCTCGCTTCTGGGTCTAAACCACTTTCATCAATCTGACCATCATCACCTTGGACATGCTGACTGGTCGAAAGTTATTCTTCTCACCGACGAAGAAAAATACCCAAAGAGAAGAGAAGGAAGAGGATGCTGCTGGCGGTGTTGGTGGTTATTTCCACCATTTTCACCATCCTGCTCTTGCTGTTGCCCTCTCCACAGCTCGCCGCCGATCAGCAATGTTCGGTCCAAGTTGTGGTGCTCGGTGACCTGGGCCGAAGTCCCCGTATGCAATATCACGCTTTGAGCATCGCGACTCACGGTGGCCGTGTCCAGCTTATTGGGTATAGAGGTGAGGAATATATAACGGCCCGAGACAGCTACGACGGAACACCGATCTAATTCTATATGCCCAGAGACTGATCCATTGCCCGAGCTGCTCTCCCATCCCAATGTCAGGCTCCTCCCATTATCACCTCCTCCTCGATGGCTCCAAACCAGCAACAGGATCCTGTTTCTTCTGTTTGGACCTCTGAAAGTCCTCCTGCAAACAAGGACGCTATGGACCACTTTGAGCTATTCTTCTGATCCTTGCAAGTGGATGCTGGTCCAGGTATAATTTTTTCTGCTGTGTCTGTCCTTGATATTCTAACGAACCCCTTTATAGAACCCCCCCTCAATACCCACTTTACTGGTTGTTTCTACTGTCTGTTTCTTTCGACGAACCCGACTGATCGTTGACTGGCATAATTTTGGGTATTCTATCCTGGCTCTCAAGCTCGGTTCAGATCATCCTTTGGTCGGAATATCCAGGTTCTATGAAACTACTCTCGCAAAGGCCGCGCATGCAAATTTTACCGTCACAGACGCAATGGCTCAAGTTTTAAAGTCTGATTACAGGATCACTGCTCCCATTGTGACCTTGCATGACCGACCAGCAGACCTGTACCACCCTCTAACAGATTCGATGCGAATAGCTTTCTTGCAGCGCTACCCTCTTCTCCAAAAGCATTTCAGTGATATCTTAGACGCAAAGGTCAGGCTGCTCGTCTCCTCAACCTCTTGGACAGCTGACGAAGATTTCGGTCTTCTCCTGGATGCCCTCTGTAGCTACTCTACCAGCGCCACCTCGTCTCATCCCCAGCTCCCAGAACTCGTCATTGTTATCACAGGAAAAGGTCCCCAAAGGCAACGTTATCTCGATAAAATTCGAGAGCTGCGGTCAGCAAAGGCGCTGGAAACGGTGAGCATCTACACCGACTGGCTTAGCTTCGAGAATTACGCTCTTCTCTTAGGCTCTGCAGATCTCGGCGTCTCCCTACATACCAGCAGCAGTGGAGTTGACCTCCCCATGAAAGTGGTTGACATGTTCGGTGCTGGTCTCCCTGTGGCGGGCTGGAGCAAGTTTGCAGCGTGGCCGGAGCTAGTGACAGAAAACGTCAATGGCAAAGGCTTCGGCAGCTCAGAAGAATTGGCAGACATTCTTCGTGAATTGTTTGATCCCAGCTCACAACAGCTTGCAAGGTTGAAGGCAGGGGCTATAAGGGAAAGCCAGCGGCGATGGAACTCCGAGTGGGATCCTGTTGCTGGCAAGCTCCTCGGTCTGGTAAACTGATCATAACCTACGCTCAGATTTCGACATGGCAGACACGACTCAGCGAACTTCAGCCAAGTTGAGGAGCTTTACGGTCACCACTCCATTTCACCCTAAGCAGAGCTTAGACGGATGCCTGCCTCGAGATCACCGGGTATGGATCCTCTAACCCTTGCATCACGAGCCTTGCCTGTAAAGCTTGAGATGCATCCTGCTGGGTTGCTTGAGTGGTTCAAGCACCCAGAGCCTGGTGGCCGAGCAGGCAGCACGGTCGATTTTGAATCTTCAGCCGCGCCTGAGAGCCGATATATCCTACAATCCACTCCAGCGTTGACGCCGGATGCTTATCACAACTCCGACTCTCCGCAGGGAAGAAAATGAATCTATTGCTGGATTATCTCGTCCAACTACATCACATCGTTTGTCGACGAGGGTGGTGACGGAGATCAGCACGGCAGTACATTTCCATTTTCAATGACCATCAAAATATTAACAGTCATCCGAGATATCCGAGCGGCGACAGGAGCCAAGGCACCAACGTGAATGCCCCAGCCCGTGTTGCAAATGGATATACGCATTTATGCCCAGATTGATCATTAAACTCGGCAAATTATGCAGACATGATCTATGCCGCTCTCGCTTTCCAATGCCAAGTGGCACGGAGGAGTCCACCACTCCCCTTTCCGATAAGAGTCGTCGTCAGCCCTTGTAAAGTCCCAGGGCTTTCCGGGACCTTTGGTGATTCGATTACATTTGTTAACGCGGAGAATCATTCATTGTGTGAGCCGCTCGCTTCCTCGAAGAGTGAGCTCGTTTACCTCCATCCGGTCTGTTCAAAGTACCTGACGCCACCGAGTCGGGTCCTACATCATGGGAGATCTCACGGTGGTAAGTTTCTGGAGAAACGATTTGGCGAGGGTGCCAGGTCTTTGTCTATCCCTCTATATCTTGCGCGTCACTCCCTGTACCCTGCTCTCCTGTTGCTGGTTGCCATCGTGACCCCTTATCTTCTTATACAACACTAGCATTGAGGTACAGCAAGGACTCAACTGATGGCGTCAATCCTCCAGCACGCGCGACGCGTTGCTTGGGACAGCTATAAGGGAGACCATAGCCCGGGACATCGCATCAGAAAGCTTTCACGATCAGCTCCGTTGTCTCTATTTATCGAAGCGTTGGAAGCCGATGGCTGTGTGATAGTCAAGGATTTCACCGACAAAGCAGCGCTTGAGAAGGCGGAATGGGAGGTGCGGCCGTGGCTAGATCAGCAAGTGAATGGCGTGAAAGTGGGCGGCAAGTTTCTCTATCGTGCAAAACCATCATTGGTCCACATACTGACTGGCGTCAAGCGCTTCAAGGCAAAACGAGAACAGTAACTAGACTCATCGGAAAGAGCGCAACAGTACGAGAGAAGTTCTTTGCCGATCCGCTCTACCAAGCTCTGTGCGAACACTTTCTGGCGCTTGAGACGACCCATTATTACGGCAACAAGCCACTCACCACAACCAGTCACCCACTTCTCTCAATCTCAATTGCATTTGATATCCCTCCAGGAACTCCGGCGCAAAACCTTCATCGCGACGACAAGAATCACCATGCTCGCCATTCCCATGCCGATAAGTACGAGAAAGGCCGTGATATGCTATTAGGCCTGTTCGTTCCATCCTGCGATACCACCAAGGCCAATGGTGCTACGAGAGTCGTCCCAGGCAGCCATCTGTGGGGCGATGATATGCCCGACTTTGGATCCGACGGCAACCGTGGAGTTGTCGACGCAGAGATGCGCATGGGAGAGGCGTTTATTATGCTAGGAAGTCTTTATCACGGAGCGGGAGCGTATGAGAAGCCATTGGGAACGGTAAAAGACGGTGATAGAGAGAGCAGGACGGTCTACGCCATGTTTTCGTGCACCGGCGTGCATCGACAGGAAGAGGTATCATTTCTGTCGTATTCGATCGACGAGGTCAAGACATATTCGAAGATCGTGCAAGAGCGACTAGGTTGGAAGCAGAGTGAGCCAAACCTAGGTTGGGTCGACCTCAAGAGTCCGGAATTTCTCCTGGCGCAATGAATGTCCCATATGTGCCTTTTCATCACTCCTCAACACTCGGAGCAAGCACGGTACAGCTGAATCTGAAATCACCGCTACCTGCCGCCTCCTCGCGCTTCAGGAATGGAAGGGGTCCCAAGCTGAGCGCTTTGTCACTCAATACATCCTCATCCCCCTCAAGCACACCAAGATCGACCGGCCCTTTTCTTCTACCTTCTAACTCCCACAAGTGGCCATCCTTGCCCTTAACGAATGCAATGAAAGCATGGCCAGGATCTTCTCCTAGTGGCGGCGCTGTGCTATCACCCGACTCCGCGGCTGTGGCGTGAGCTGTTTCCAGCATTTCTGAATCATGGAGGAACTGAGCTCGCTCGGCGGGTTTGAGAGGAATTGTATTTTGGACCAATTTATCGAGATCACTCCCTTTCTGGATGAAGTCGGCCGCCATCCCATTAGTGGTGCAATGCAGGAGACCTATGAGGCCACAGGCATGATGTATTGTTTGGCGGTAGAACATGACGGGTTCCCCGGGACCTGAACCTTCGTAACCTGCTTCGGCCTCGTTGGTTCTGTTGTAGTGGGCTTCAGCGGTTGCGGTACTTGGGTAGGTGAACAAGAGGGCACTGGCTGGTCGAGGTAAGATAGCCATCAGATCAGGGTCGGTCAGGCTGTATGCATCGTGAAAAGAGAGTGCCGGGGACAGTCCCAGTCGATGGGCCAGTTTGGTCATGACTTCAGGGTTGTTTTCTGCGAATAAAGGCAATGTGGATCAGCAGATATCTCACTATAATCGTATGGTTGGAAATGAGTTCACCAAGCGGAATAAACGTCTTTTGAGGCATCTTAGTAATGGAAATCGCATTCAATGCTCTCCTAAATCTTTTGGACAACGTCTCTGAGTCTGCAGAAACAACCTCAGGAGTTCGGTGAATCGAGGCTGAAGTGCTGGAGAATCCATAACAAAACCGAAAGGCAGACTCGAATGACGTACGCAAGGCTGAACTTGGTGACCCCTCGACGCGGAGAAATTAGCACTGACCAGGCCACAAGGCTCCCCGCGAATTTAGAGACGTCCAACCGCCCATACCCTCAAGCACCACAAGTCCCAGGAGGACGATCACGGCAGCATGAGCAAGAAGTTCAAGTCACAGGCCTCCGCTTCGAGCGCTCGTGCTGCTTCTGCTGCGTTTGGATCGTCCTCATCCTCCGCCTTTGGTTTCCGCACCCCATCCCCAGGATTCCAGACTGCGCCCTCTTCCCTATCCTACATCGCTGAACAACCAAATCTCAGCATTATCTCGAATCCGAACCTAGTTGTCTCCCTCCGAAACCTCAGCAAGAAAGATAGTACTACGAAAGCTAAAGCACTCGAAGAGCTTCAAGACTATGTGAACTCGTTGACCTCGGGCGACACCATTGATTCCGGCCTGCTGGACGCATGGGTTGGTTGTTCTCTCTGCCCTGATTAACTACGGACTAACTCTCCACGAAGGTCAGCCTATACCCTCGGACCTCGATTGATAATGCACGCAGAGTCCGCCAACTCGCGCATGCCCTGCAGGGCTCTCTCACTACTCTCGCCGGCAAACGAATGGCTCCTCATCTACCAAAGGTGATCGGAGCATGGCTTTCTGGCTGCTACGATAACGACAAGTTGGTGGCCCGAACTTCACAAGAGTCAGTTGCGACAGCATTTGCCACAGAGGACAAGAGACGGGCGCTGTGGAAGGTCTACCGGGGTACCCTCCTTGACTACGCCCATGATGCCATCTTGGTCCAGACATCTCAAACGTTGAGCGATGAACGGTCGACCACCCCGGATGATTCAGAGGCCAAATTTGTTAGAGTAGTTGCGAATGCCACGCAAATGCTGAGCCAAATTATCAAGATCAATTTCACCCCAGTGTCAGGTGCCAGCAAACCTGACGTTCCGGAGAGCCTTGGAAGGATTGTGGTGGACAAAAAGCTTTGGGAATACTCGTCTCATGCGGATCCTGTTCTACGAAGCGCTGTTTGCAACCTAGCTAGCGTGTGCGCAGATGTGATCCCCGGAGAGCTTGATTGGAAAATCATAAGTGCTTGCTTCATCAGCAAAGCTTTGTATAGCAGTCAGCTGGGCTCGTCCCGCCAACTGTTAGAAGCTCTTCTCGCCCTCACTTTCGTCCGGCCGGGGATATGGACCGCGGATTATTCTTCGAAAACGGCGGCCTCCAAAAGGCTGTTCCAGTACCTGCGGAAAGGCTCACAGCGAGGCCCGGCGGATTTCTGGCCTAACGTCGCAATGCTTCTTAAAAAGATCCCACTCGAAGCCTGGAGCGCCATCGATGAGAAAGGTCGCTTAGACGATGCTACAACATTACTCGAGTCCTTACGGTTGGGCATAGCCAGCCCTGAAGAACCACGTCAGAATCTTGAAGCTGCCTGGCCTGCTTATGTCGAGGTATCTTTCTGGGCAACCGACCTGTTGGAAGATGACCAGTCCAAAGCAGCACTGTTGGAAGCGAACATTCTGCCGTTGGTCAATCAATATATTGTTCACGATCCTAAGCAAACTGTTTGGGACATTCCGAGTTCATACAGTGCCAATATTTCCGCATCAGCACTCATTAATCTCATTCGCTGCAATTTCTCGTCGTTCGAGAACGTATGGGTTCGATACTGTGACCAACTCAGTGCTAGCATGAAGCTATCCCTGCCAGAAAGCTCGAAAGATTTTGCAAAATCGCAGGACGACGTGATCGCGCACGCTCAACGCCTATTCCGCCTCAAGCCACTTATCATTCAGGCCGAATCTCAGCATGCTGCGCGTGCTGCGAACGTCTTTCAAGAGACTGATGGATCCCTTCTGAATGCTGCTTTACAGGTCTTGAAAGCGCGAAAGGGCAAGCCATATAGTGCAGCTGCTGTTCTCGAGGCAGTCACTTCCCCCATGGAGACAATATCTTCCAATTCGTTGGAAGAATTCCTAGAATCGGATGCCGTCAACCTGCTTGCAAGCCCGTCTGCAGAATACTTAACTTCCGTCCTGCTACATTTCCATCGAAATCTGGGACTGGCTCTCGCAAAGTTGATGAGCACAGATCATAATGTCAGCGCCAATGCCCTTGCACGACTTTTAGGTCAAATTTCCGAAGAGGATCTCTTGCAGAATCCTGAAATCGAGCCTTTCGTTATACACCAGATCTCGTCACAACTGGAAAACGGATTTGCGCAAGAAGTTGTGAAGAGTGTTCTGAAAAATTCCAAACTGGCTCGGTCCACTTTGTACAAGAATTGTTGCCAAAAGATTCTAGTTCAGTTATCTCCAGGCGCCGATACACCATCGCAGCTCGCAGTTCTTCGCTTCCTACTCGGTTCAACTTCTTTCCTTATCTCTTGCGATATAGGAAGCACGATTCTGGCGAAGTTGCTCGTTCTCTCCGATGCTGACAGTGCGGAAACAGCCGAGCTTGCAACCTCGCTCATAACAAAAATTAAAACATTACCTGCAGGGGAATCATCCACAATAGCTTCTTCTGCTGCTGTCATTGCCGATCAGCTCTCTGGAAACGGCGTTCCTCTTTCTATTTTCGTACTCATTGATCTCGCGAAAGACACCCTCAAAACTTCGCGTTCATACGAATCTGACTTGATTGCCGCTCTCATTCCCTCTGTTGCTCAGTGGAATCACGCTCTCGAAGCTCATATGAACACTATGCCACCCCTTTCACTCTCGATCACGAATCCTCTCCACGGACTTATCTTCATGATTAAGCCTGTGGATTCTGTGACGACCATGAAGCAGCTCAAAGATCCTGACGAATTCTCCTTGCTATTTCGACTTGTTCTCTACTTGACAAAAATCCTGCTTGACACTGACATAATGATTCGCCAGTCAGAAGACCAATTGCAAACGCTGTACAGCTATTATCCCCTTGCTCTACAATTTGTCAATCAGAAGTTGACTCTGGAGGCTGCAAATGATCTCTGGCAGAACACCAGCGAGGAGGTCACGGAAGAAGCTGCTGAATCACTCGCGCAAGGAAACTCTTTGGTTCAGAGGTGGACACAAGATGATAAAATGCTCAAAATTTGGATCGAAAAGATTCGTTCGCTAAAATATTCAAACCCGACGGCATTCTATTACGGCCTGACATTTACCGACGTTACATCACGTTTCATCGACGAACACGGGCCTACAATAATCACGTCCACCTTCGGGGAGGAAATGAAGGATTTACACCGAGTTCAAGAGGTCGCGCAATCTGCAGGTCTGGTTTGTACTTGTCGGGACTACCTCATCAACTCACCTCAAGGGCGCAAATTACTCAACGAGTTGATTGCCACCGGAACCGATTTAAAGATTCCTTCCACATCCGAAAAGGGGCTACGGGGACTGGTTCTACTAGACCTTCTCCTAAACGGACGATCCGAACCGTTGGAGAGCATCCCTAGTCAACGGCAGATCTTCCTGATGCAAACTCTTGTGCGTGTGGCTGGCGATGCCTTCGCTGGCCTGGCTTATCAAACAATGGCCATGAAACTTCTTGAACCCATCATTACAGCTACCAAAGACATCTATGGGGACCATTGGGAACGCATCCTGCAAAACTTGCTCGCCGTTTGGCAGAATGGCAATGACTTGAACAGCGATCTTCCTCTCGTACATGCATCACTTCGAGTATACGGACGTTTGAGAGACCTTGTCACCGCTGAAGATGCAAATGAGGACTTAGTCGATGCCTGGAAAGCCTCACAGCCTTCTTTGGAAGGGAGTTTGCTGCGCTGTCTCGACAGCTTCAATGACTCCAGCGATGAGATTAACCAACCCCGCTGGATTACTGCTGAATTGCTTCGAAGACAGCTCTCGCACATCAACGTGCCGCCTGATGTGGATCTATACTCTTTGTTATCGTCGCGGGAGGATCCTGTCCGAAGTGCTGCCTACGATCTTCTGCACCGATCAATTCCCTCCAAGCAGGAGCAGATCTCGCTAGATGTCGCCCTCGAGTCAAAGGCTGCTCATCTCCCGTCGGAGCTCT